TGGGCGCAACAAGATTGACTGGGGGTTACGCAAAGTGAACTGAATTTAGGATTTTTTTTCCAACATTTATTTTTGACCTGAGCTAAAATGCTTCTTGATAACTCATCCCATGAATCCAACGTAGGCTCGGTGGTTGGTCATGAACTTTCGACCTGTATTCGGCTGTCCTCAGCAAGCTATGCCACATTGAAGGTGCACCATGTTTTCAAAAATGTTGAGCTGTACGGCTCCAATACTACTGACAGGCTGGCAAGTCACCCAAAAGTGAAGAAAATTTAATAAAAATCGCCCAGAACCGCCCAGAACAAGAACCCATGCTGAAATTGTTCATCCATGAGGTGATGCCAAAGCGTGGTCGGACGAGGTTCCGACTTGTTGGTGCCGGCTGTTTCTGTTTATCACCTCGAAATGAAGAGAGTTAGTCGCGGAACAATCGGGTCGATGTAGTGGGGTTTTGTCCTCCCAGAGGAGAGTATTACCAATTCACCGGCCCTGGAGGGATGAAAGGTTTGGTTGCGAAGGCAAGATTCGACCCCGGAGGGCGCGCATAGTGTGTGGTCTACTTTCACACATTCTTCGCTCACAGTTGTAAATCTGTCGGATTAAATCAGTTGTAAATCTATCTAAATTTATTCTTCCCTACTAGCTTTTTCGTTCTCACTTCATGTACTGGTTGACTTCAGGCACAATATATAATCACGATGATGGAATCGGCTGGGAAGCCGCTTTCTTATTGTGAAGGCACCCGAGCTTCTCGGAGTAGGGCACATGTGACCGTGTATAGCATACCGTCTCAGATCGTGAAAGAAGTGAACGGCTTGATGATCACCATGGGTGTAAGTCTACCGTCTTACATCAATTTACCCGACTAGATCCAGTCGCTCATTCTCACAGTCAGCACACGTCGCTGCAAATGCATGGTATTGTTGGCTTTTTAGGTTGACGCTAATGCGACCGAAAGGGACGTTGCCAATTTTATGAATGGGTTTTTTCGACGATATAACTGTAGTGGGTTGCGGCCAAAACGCCCTGCCACCGACAACAGCAGCCAGCCTACAAATAATGAAGAGGGCACCTCATCGAATCGACCTCTTCCGCCGGATAAGGCTCCTTCGCCCCCAGAGGAAAACCCTGTGGTGAGTTCAAATCAGCATATGAAAGTTCTTGGTGGAGTTATGATTCTATTCTATAAACATCGCGCTGCTTCAGGATAACCCAGCCTGTTCCTCCAACGATATCGCTCCGAGGAACGATATGGTGATTGAAATAGAGCCAAACAGCACCTATATGTTCCTGAGCTCCCATGACGAAATCAACTATTATATGGAGTCCGTCGGTGAGACCGAGCCTACCGCACTCAGCAAGTACTACCTTGTCCAAGGAGAAATGCTGATGAGGTTGTTCCGATTCTGTCCGGAATGTGGAACTAAGTTAAAGCAAAGACGACTGAGTGCAGTGGGCACAGCAGCGAGTATACGATATGTCTGCCTTTCTTGCACACCACGTGATCCAACAATCAAGCGCTGGGTCTGTCAACGTCGTTTTGTGCAACAAAATCGAGACAATTCTCTAGAAGGAAACGTCGCCTTATCGGTAGCGGCTATTACTACGGGTCTACGATATGCTGTAAGTTGAGAACATGCAAGATTTTCCAGGCAATGTAATGAAAAAGGTGTTTAGGAGCTGCAACGATGGGCTGACCTGGTGAACATAAGCTTTGTTTTACAATCATCGTTCTGGAAAGTTTTCGAGTGGACAAAGGGCGCAGTGGCTAATGTCTATCGCCTTGAGCAAGAACGATTGTTGAAAATTGTTCGACGTTTTTATAAGGTACTTGCATCCCTCGTCCATTGTTTTTGAGAGAAGTGTTTTATGACCACGCGACGTCGCGCGCGCGGCAATCTGCAGACACCGCGTGTCTTCAATGGAGCGCACGCTCGCGATATACTCATTGCGTTATTGATTGAGATTGTGTTCGCTTCAGTTTTCGGCCCCGCTCTTTTTTCTAGTAAGACCTGTATTGTCCTGGCTGTCAGATTTTGTTTTGATTAGAGTGATCACTCAGCAACTATGGTACAGAGAAACCAGCACAAATTCTGCTTGCGAATTAATTTAGCTACTTTGATCCCTGATCATTTTGGCTTCACAGTGCTTTGGACAGCTTTCTCAGAGACTGGTACTTAGTTGTGCGAAAAAAAATAGCAGCAAAATTCCGCGATACAAAACCGCGAGCGCGCCGATTGTAATCATACGGTATTTGCAATTGTCGGCGTGGTCCAACTGTAACATACGCCTTTGGCCTTATTCACAAGTACCTACGAATGCCTACTGCTTTTACAGGATAACAATCACCCAGGATGATTGTTCATGGTTTTTTATTTAGAAGGGCGAAGGTCTGCAACTTGCTGTTGATGGGATAAGCAGTGACCATAATTCTTCACTGCCAAGCCAAGCAAATCTGTTCGATAACCGGACCAAGCTGCTCTTGCATTCTGAAGCAATTTCTCCTTCAGCAGCAGGTATGCACTTTCTTGCTGAAACGGGTGAAGCACGCCAGGCGAAAGTTGTTCTGAGGCGCTGTCGCGAGAGACGATTCTTCCTGCTTATACATGAAATTTGTGTGGAATTATGGAGAAAATAAAGAAAATATGCAACGATACATCCCCGCAAGTTTTACTGCTCCAGTCGAGGAACTGACCAACTTGAAGTTCTCGCACCCATCGCGGTGTGACGCCTACATTGAAGGTTCTCCGCGCTCGTCGCCAGACGAAGCGTCCCGTGCGACGGCGCGGCAAGCTACGATGCTCTTGCCCGACTTTCAACAAGGATGGCATAGTAGGTCTCATGGTGACTGCAATCAGTGCCTCAGTATCTTTGTGAAAATTTTATCAGCGACGTAAACGGAAGTGCTTTTTTGAGAAAAAAAAGTTTGTTAGAGGGGACGTGATGTTGATGCTTACGAGCAGAAGTCAGTGGACAACGGCAGCTTCTGACGAGCGGGTTAAGGTCAAATCCCGTTTGTAAATTCTGGAGTGGCTGTTTTCCAGGCTTGCACCAAGTGAAACATCTTCATGAAGATTTCTGTTTACGCTGATTTCTAAACCAACGAAGCGTTTATAGCTTCTGCACACTTACAATTAATTCTAGCCCTCTTGGCATTGCTTGCTGTAGGAGCCTCCCAACACAAGGGTACACTTCTGGAAAATAGGAAAGAAAACGCCGTTGTCGCCAATGTGTTAAGGCGTACTCGCGGGGTGTAGGTTGGGACTCCACGAGCAGGGCACATCATTGGTTGGGGATTTTGGTGAAGCCCGTACGACCCCCCCCCTTTTTTTGGGGGTTCGGTACGACCCCCCCTATACATAAACTTATGAAGTTTCTTCCCCTCCCCCCCCCCCCCCCCCGAGGAGGAAGAAACTTCATAAGTTTATGTATAAGTAAGCGCGAAAAATGGAAAAAGTAACAATCCTGAACGAGGCCCCCCTCGCATTTCTATCCTGATTCAGAAAAGAGAATAGAAAAGAAAGGCCATTAGGTTTCACCCACCTTTCCTCGAGTC